AATTTTCTATTATATCTTAGAGCCTTCTTGGCTGAATAATATATACATAATGAATTTTCACAAGCCTCTTTTATTGTTGGATGGAGGTATGTATTTATAAAGCAAAGAATTAGGTCAAAATACGTACCCTAAGTAGTTAAAAAAAAGAGTTTGACTGAAAGTAGAAAACAAATTGGACTAACAAAATTTGTATCATGCGATCGTTCCCTGTTTGGGCTATGATTGGACAATATTGTGATTTTGTACAATGTTTAAATTCGTTAGGGGCTGCGATCACATTCCTTCAAGGTTTGTGGTCACAAGTCCCAAACTTTACTCCTCGTTCATTTTGGTCTATGATTTCTCCTTAGTTTGGCTATGAGTCATTTTTTGGTAAAGTTGGTCCTTCATCTTCTAATCTTCATAATTAGGTCCTCATCATACCTATTGTGCTGATATAATATGATTTCACATAAATAAGTATCAAATTAAAACAAAAATAAAAAAATTACATCACCTAATTACAATTCATGAACCATAAACAATATCAAATAATCATACTCATTAATTGACAAGGTTATTCAACTTATATAATCATTAAAAAAAAAAAAAAAGCAATAGAATTTTTTTTTGAATTTCTTTTTTTTTTTTTTTTTTTTTTTTTTTTTGCGCATAACACAAACAATCAAATATAGAACATTAATAGTGATACTCCTCCAAACTTAAAATATGCATTATACTCAATTTGTACATTAAATGAACTTTAAGAAGGGTCGGCAATAGTTCTTAGCAATTGGTCTTCTGTCTTCCTTCTTCTCTCATTTGCTCATTTTGCAAAATAATTCATTCATACTTGAAAGAAATTAGTGCCAATATAGTCACAAGGGTGTTAAAACTAATTCTATATCGATTGAAAGTGTCAGATAAGAAGAAATTTGGTATGATTGCGATCTAGGAATACCACTAAGTATTCCCCGGCTCTGTTAAAATTTAATTTTAGGGAAAATTTATTTTGTAATAGTGTTTTTTTTTTTTTTTTGGGAAAATGTGTTGTGAAAAACTAAGAAAAAATTTGGATTTATATGTAATATTATTTAATTGAAAAATGTATGGTTGAAATTATGAGAGAAAAATGCATTTTACCTAAAATGGAGCCCAAACAAGGGTATACCTCCCTAAGTACTAAATGCAATCCTAATTCATTACGTGCAATTACTTAAAACATAATAAATAAAAGTGTAAAAAAGTTGTGTTGCCTTTTAATGAGCACTTGTTTATAAGCCCGACTTTTTGCATAAGTACTTCATGCCACTTTAAATACGGTTTTGCTAGTGGTATATCAAGGTGTACACCCCACTCATATGAGCGAGGAACCCACTCGAATAAAATATCATTTCTTTCACATGGGTCCCACACCCATGTGAGTAGGGTGTATACCATTCGATATACCTCATTATGTACCACTAGACAAATTCTTTTAAATATGGCTTTGAAGATCTTGATTAGTTTGCGTAAGTAGAATTCACATCAAGCCTCGTGCTTTATCCAAACTCTTATGTTACCTTTTTCTTATCACATTCCTTGCCTCCATCACCTAATTCGAATGCAACTAACAATACTTTGATCTCATCAACTTTAATCATGAAGTGATTGAAGTCAATAAAATTGGAGGATTACATGTTAATTCCTTCATCAATGAAGGCCACTAATTCATTTGGCTCTATCATGATTAACTCTCACGTGTCTTCAAGCTCTTCTTATATAGTTGTTGTTCCCTCGGGTGCTATTCGGAAATTACTTTAGCCAATTGATCTATTTTTTTAAGTTTTCGACGGATGCTTGGTGACTCTGGAAGTGTGCTTTAGTCACCTGTGTGAATTGAGATGTAGTGTTTGATAGTACTTTAAATCCTCTGGGATTTCATCATTTGCATGGAAAGAAATTTCCAGTCATATTTTCTTCATCAACTTTCGCATATCTAACATCTTAGAATGATTTCTCTTGTTCATTCTGCACTCTATAGCCTGACAATTCCCATAGTACTCCTGATGGTTGGTCGTCCTTTGTTACCTTGTGCATGAAAATTTGACAATCCCCATAGTACTTTCAATGGTAGATCAATCTGATCAATTTCGACAGTGCATTATTTATCCCATTTGACAACCATTAAAAAGAGATTTTTGAAAAAAAAAAAAATAGTTTTTTAATTGTGATTTTTGGAGAATGTGTAGTTAAACGGTAGGGTTACGCGCAAAATATTTTATTGTGGAAATGTGTGGTTGAAAATGAGTTTTAAAAAGAAAGTGTTTTGTAAAAATGGTTTTCGAACAAGAGCTTAAGAAATTTAATAATATTATGAAAACAAATATATCTATTTGTTTAGAGCATCAAAATTTAACAATAGTAAATCTGGTATAAAAGTTTTTAAAGTCATTAAATATTTGGAAACTTGCACAGTTGTACAACACGTTCGCAAAAAATTTGGCTTTTGCACTGTTAGTGAATGTAGTTGGATAAATGAAAGAAAAAATTAAACTTGAAATCTATAGCCTATAAATTTTGGAGATCAATCTTATTAAAATGAATAACCTAACTCACATCACGTGTGCCATAAACCTGAATATCTAGGTTGGCACGACTCAAGTTTTAAGTCCGCCAACTCACAGCATACTTAGGTTTTATTCCGATACGTAGCCAATTATGAAAAAAATTGAAAATTCATTCTTTAATGATAATTTTATTTTCAGAAACTTTATGTTTTATTTCTTGGGTAAGTTACAATAAAGATTCCCAACATTTTTTTTTCCCTGATTTACTTTTCCTCACATATGAAAAATAGGCAGTATTCATCAAATGGATGCATTTCATCTATTTTTCCATTAGCCAACCCATTTAACCATTATATTTCGAAAATTAAATAATCATTCCATTAATCTTAATTACAATACTGAAAGTGAAAATGAAAATTCTTAAAAACAATAATAACAAAAGAAAAGAAAACAAAAAAATAATAAAAATGAAAAATGCCATCTTCTTCCAGCCGCCCCGTGCCCCACACACACTGCTAGTACCACGATACCGTAGTTAACAAGGGAGAAACTTAATCCTTTATTTTTAAATTTGATGTGACATGAAAATGAGTTGTGGACAAAGTGAAAATAGGAGACCAATGTCTTCATTTTTAGAATTATGTGCTTATTTTTATCAGTGGACGTTGTTCCGTATCACTTAAGCTCTTGTTTGATTTAGTTAAAAAAAAAAAATATATATATATATATATATATTAAATGTTGTTCAAAGTTGGTTAAGAATGTGATTGAAAAAATGATAAAACTTATAGTTTTCATAAAATGTCTAGTTAAAATTAATTTTTGAACTTTCACTTACATTTTTATCAACTTTTTAAACTAATTCAAACAAGTTCTATTCTAGGGTGTCTTTCTACGTCATCTAAGAGTTTGGGAACTAATGGAGTTTTCCACCAGTAGTGTTAAACTTTATAATTCTTTAATAGTAGAATTAATTCTAAGATTGAAGAATTAATAAAAATGCTAGATATAAAAATTTAAAAAAAAAATCAGAACTATCATTGATTACAATAGGCGACAAATTAGGGTTTCCAATCCCCACTGTTTTAGGGTTTGTAAATCGCGAAGAATATGGAAAAACAATATCCTCAGAAAGTTCCATCTATAAATACTACAATGAATTCAAAGAATTATTTTTATCACAGGAAAGAGATATACACAAAGCAAATATCTTCCTCTGTCTCTTGATGGAAGAACAATTTGTAGAGAAGAAAAGTATGAGATTGAATGAACTACCAACCGACTTATTAGTTGACGTGCTATCGAGACTCCCTGAGAAGTCTCTTTGCAGGTTCACCTGTGTTTCCAAAGAATGGCAAAGCTTGATATCTTCTCCTCATCCTGGCTTTGTCAAAGCTTTGCGCCGCCAACGACTTCATCGAAAATCTTATCTATATATTTGGAATATTAGTCTTTTCGACGGAAACGTTGAATCGGATGTGGAAGATTGCTCTCTTCGCATATCCATCGTGGACACAGTTAACGAAAGGATTCAGGAAAATTATTGTCTTCCTATTAATAATATGAATCCTTTTATTTATACCGTAATCTCGTGTCATGATCTTTTATGTTTGGCTCAGACAAAAATTTCTATTTGTAATCTGAGTACCCAAGAGAAAGCAATTCTTCCTGATCCTGATCATCTTGGTCATGTAGGTATAGGTTTTGGGTACTCATCTGTTTCAAAAGAATTCAAAATTGTTCGGTGGTTTATGCAGAAGAAGGATGGGAGAATGAGTATGGGGTGCGAAATTTTCAGTCTAACCAATCGTCTCAGATTCAAATCAGATTCGTGGAAATTGACTGAAACACGTCCTTTTGAATTCCTTAGCAAGCCTTCTGTGTTTGTTAATGGAGTGATTTTTTGGCAGATACTTAACCCAACGTTTAAGAATTTTTTTGAAAGCAATTCTATTCTTGCCTTTGATTTGGATGAGGAAGAACCCCAAATCATTTCATGCCCAAAGCTTAGTCCTGATACCGTTGCCCACTTGGTAGAGTTAAAGGAGTGTTTATATTTGGCACACTGTTCCAAGGGAAAAGCAATCGTGAAAATTTGGAGGCTGGAAGACCAAAAAAATAGTTTGTGGGTTTCAGAATATTACATCAATTTTTCATCTATATGCAACACCATTGTGCCACTAACAAGTGTATTGGCTGGTCATGTTGAAGAGCTGGTTTTTATTTCAGTGAAAGGCAAAGGTCTCCTTTATTATAATGTAGAATCCGGTAAAATGAGGAAACCCGAGAACTTAGAGAATTTTACACTGCGATGGTATGAATTTCCTTGTGTTTTGAGGAATATGGAGTTCTAAACAATGATATTTTTCTCAGAAATCGGTAATTTTATTTCGACTTTTTATACATATTGATGTGATTGATGACTATTATGTACTCTACACATGTATATCTTCTAAGGTCTCTGCAGTAATTTATTTCATTCGTTGAACTTGAATGTTTCTTGTTATAATATTAAATAAGATCCTTTTTGCAGTCGAATATTTTCATATTTTAATTATACGTATTGAATACTAGTTTTTATACCCTACTCGTGCAAGATAAAAACCTACGATGACAATATTTGAAACTGGTTAATTGATAAACACTATAAAAATCGACAAGTCAAAATATTGAATGAATAGATCTTAGCTTTAGTAAGAATGCGAACAATCTAGATATTTACTTTTTTGATTGTTCTTCGTAGAACTATCTATGTTAAATCTGAAAGAACCATTTAATTCATAACTCATTGAAAATGTAAAAACTTAAATTTACATGTGACACGATAGTAATGTACTCAAATCAATAATATGGACCAACTATTATGGGAGTTAATCAAATAATATTCTAAGACCTAGTTCCAGCTTCAATTGTGGAAGTTTGTATTTTACAAGGAAAAGTGATTATAAGAGATCGTGCGATCACATCAATGAACCATTTTGGTATCATCATTCATTAATTTACTCTAACACGGCACTTGACACAACTGTCGTGCATGCCCACAATTGACTAACGAAATCATTACACCATTATCACAAATTCTGAAGTCAATTTCTCTAAAAAATTTCCCTTGAAATTGTCATATTTCCGTGCATCTAAATAATCCACAGCCTACTTAACAATAGAGAGCTAACGTACTAGAAAGAAGAACAAGCCATTTTCTCTTGCTACATATATTAAAACATAAATTAAAAGGAGCATCTTAAAAAGATATACATGAAAAGGTTTGCAAGAAACTATCCGCAGCAAAAAACGTCTTAATGTTAGCCAGATCACCCAGCAAAACCTCCAAACACTTGCTAAAACTCTTAAAAGTTATTAAATAAAGTGCCCTCTAGCAATAAAACATCACATCCTTGACATTATCCTTGATTGCAGGAAGTGAGCGAACCTCCAAATTCTTCTCCCTAGTTGCCACGTCTCTTCCAGGAGCAGATCCACTGTCAGAGAGCTCACCACCTTCGACATAGTATCGAGCACGAAATGCAGCCAGATGGGCATAATAAGCAGGAGGAACTACACAGTAAACCAGATAAATATCAACAGTTGAAAATCTTGATCTTAACCAATCTTTTATGTAATAAAACCAAGTAAAATGAACAAAATGAAAAGAGACTTAACTAACCTATAGAGACTGATCGAGTACACCTAGCATACCTGAAAGAGTGAGAATTCAAGTAAATAACGAACCAAGTAAAGCTCTTCATTCATAAAACCAAAAATTAAATTTCATTACGAAGATAGGCATTGTGTTCTTACGTATAACACAAACTATTGGTTAACAGCTGCAGAGCATCAGCGCTGAATTTGTTCTCATCAAACAGCACATGGTAATGTGTGGGGCGGCTAGTTCCCTGTTTGAGGTATAAAAATATATCAGAAATCTAAAGCAAAGCACCAACACATATCCTATTAAAGATAATCTATGCTCTATATGCATTTCTTACGAAGCAAACGCACGTATATACAAAGATAATGCCTGCAAACTGACTAAACAGCATGAATCGAAGTACCTGAATCCCAGCATGGCTACAGAGGTAAAAATCAAACTCACTGGGGTGGCATATCTTGGTATCAATGACAGTACCTGGTCATCGAAGCAAACCACGTGATCAAATACGGTAAAAACAAGTGACAGATGTTGCTCTATATACAACCAAAAAATTTCATACCTGGCAAAATGTTTCCACTCTTGTCTGTTGTATTTCGATCCCCATGATTGGCAGGGAAGAGACGTGTATGGTGCCTTTTTTGAACCACAACAAAGGTAACAGGTGGTAGATAAGTTTCTTCAATGGAAACACAAGCCTGAAGAAAGCTCCAATTGAGATACAATAAGACAAGGAACACATCACGTAAACTGAATACTTTTAAAGTAAAAAAATGTAAATAAAATAAAAGACCACATACCTTCCTGATTGCATTCATTTCATGCAAAAGAACTTGGTTAAACTGCCCTTCACTAACACCATCACTGTCATTCAAAAAGTATCACCATTACATTTCATAGCATGTATAGCAAAACGCAGGAACAACTGAAAGAATAGTTTAAGTTTATTAACCGGTAGAAGATAATTCTACAAGGCTTATGACCAGTAGACTTGAAGAATGCAATCAACAGTTCCCTACAAAATGGAAGTGAATGGTAAGAGGAAGAGGAAAAACATTAGACTTAAGAGGTAATGTTAACGGCTTTCTGACCTTATCATGCCACTATGAACAATGCCTCTAATAGGATCTTCAGTTGTTTTGTAAAGATCTTGTATAATCTCTACCCGGTGAGATTGTGCAGAAACCAACCCTCTGTATTTTGTTACTTGCGGCCAGTCAACTGAAGCCACCACCTGTAAATAATAAGGTCTCAACTCTTATCTTTCCTTTTCAAAATAGATGAGCAACATAGAGAAGAAGTTTCAACATACCGCAGCAATAGAAGGGCTGGAATCCTCCCCTGGTTGAGGATGAGTTACATCAGCCCCAAATATGATTGTAGGGCAATCAGTTAGATAAGGAATTCTTCCAATAATAGCCTGTTCCAGAACAGTATTTCGGCCACCGACCTAGTTGGAAATATAACCATGAAAAAAAAAAATAAAGATTAAATAATGAGGCATTTATTCAGCCCTTGTTTGAGCCAAATTTTGGGGGGAAATGTATTTTTGAATAGTTTTTTTTGGAGAATGTGTGGTTAGAAAAAAAGAAAAGTTTTCAATTTATGTAAACAAATTATTTTATTGGAAAATGTGTGGTTGAAAATGAGTTTTTGAAAAAATGGGGCTCAAACAAGGGCTTGGAGTAGAAAGTAAATTGAAGATCAAATAGACTATTTGGGCACATGATATCCTAGCAAACCTTCACATTGACTTTCAGAGCAACATTCTCAAGATATTGTTTATTGTATCTGGATGCATGCCTGGGCTGACAACATTGAGAGACGATTCCCAACTCTGTTTCGCAAACTCGCTTGATCTGACCTGAAAGACAAAATACCACAATTCAAGACAATGAATCACTTAAGAACTTTTGAGTTGGGAAAGGTTTCCAGCTAACCATAAGACCCGCTGACATCAGGCAAAACGACTATTAGTAACTGAAGTTGTCTCCCAGTCAGTTCCAAGTTCTTCAGTCTAGTTGAAGAATCTGTGTGCAAATCAAAGAGGGCCTTCTCTATCTGACCAGGATGAGCAGATCGAATAGGAACCAAAGGTCTTGGATTGAATTCCTAAAAGCAAGCATAAGATTCCAATATAGTAACTAACATTTGAAGTGTAGTGAATGCTTGCCAAAGCAAAACTCAATGCAGAAATTAAAAGGACATACCATCCCTTTGCTATTACACATGCCAATTAATTCATTGCAAAACCTGTCTACATCAACATTGAATCTCTGCGAGAAGTTTATGCACGTCCAGAATTCCACTTTGCCACCATTAACCATTTTCTAAACAAGAACACATATTTTCATTGAAGACGACTTCAAGGGGGAAAAAAAAGCAATAATATTCAAACAGTATAACTCAACATCATCTACAAATCATAAACTCTACGTGAAGTCAAACGTGAGAGAACATAGGTTAATGATATAATTATTTTAGATAATTTGTATTAAAAAGGAAACAGTACGTTTAATACGCAACGTCCTTGTTCAATTCACTTATTGAACTTTCATATATGTTAATAAAGAAACAAATCCCACTATGCTTCTAATGATAATAACTATGATGACAGGGTTAAAACAGCCTGAACACATCATTCAATTAAGAACAATCACCTTGTCAATCATATTCCATACTCCTACTCTTGGCTCAACACGAGATTCACGTCCAGTCTCATGATATCTCAGCTGACATCCAATGTAGCAGAATGTCAGAACTCACAAAAGAAGTATGATTAAAGTAATTCAAAAAAAAAATATTGACAAAACTTACCATCGGAGCTGGCAAAACCCTTGCTTCAATGGATGAGAGTTCAGGCCTAACCTGAATCCCAAACTCTTTGTTCACAAGCATGTCACCATTGTAATTGTTAGAGTTGACCATCTACAAGTAAACCAAATTTTTATAAAACAAACAGTTGCCTCATCGAAATAATTGTTAAGATATACCTATATAGAAATAAAACAGAGAAGAAAAAATGCTGGGATCTTAAATATCAATGCCTCAATGATGCTTCGTTCTCTTTGTTGAGGACGTTGGCAGGTTGCTTTTAAAAGTGCAGTAACTTGTTTCTCATTCAACTTCCGTGAATACCTTTGCCCACCAACAATCTTACAAACCTGTAAAGGAAGAACACACCAGTATATCTAAATCAAGAGGGAGGATCCATGGAAAGCCGCAGACAGAATAATCAAAACAAACCTCCATTGGAAAATATATAGGCTTTTTATCACTGCCAGCCTGAATTGCAGGCAAGTGAGGAAACTTGAGTGCAATATTGTACTTTTGTCGAAAATATTGCGCTACAGATATTTTTGCCCCCGTATCATCCAAGGAAAACCTACTCCGTTGGAAGGAAAAGAGTCAAAACCCAAATATTGAATTATAGCGTGATTCAATTACAAAATGCAAATCAGTTAATAATCATAAAATAGTTATACTGCTAACTGAAAATGCCAAGCTGCAAATAAGAAAAAGAGATGATGAACATTGAAAACATTCATAAGGAAAGGATAAAATAATTTTTTCTACATGATATAACTAAAAAAATTTGCAAAATGTTAACACCTTTTAAAATGTCCCAACACTATTCCATCGCACCAAAATTAATACAAATCAAACGTGAATAAGAAATGAATGAGCTTACATCAACTGTTGTGCTGGTACAGTTGACAAGCCTGATATTTTGTAATGTTTGACATGCTCCATATGATTGAGCTCAACTCTAAGACCTTTCAAAGTCCTTTTCACCTAGAAAATCAAAACAGCTAAGTTACTTTCTAATTTATAGACGAGAGCCAAAAAAGGACAGAAATTGAAGTAACTATTAGACAACAATATATCTAGTAAACCCTTAATGTTACTGCCGTAAAACAGTTCTCATTAGACACGAGTTATGATACATTGGTGCTGAAGATATCATAGTTCATAATCACCTATTTCTTCAATTGTAGAACCTTTCAGTTTTTAGTAGTAAAGTAAAATCTTGTACTAAATAAATGCCTAGTCAGTCATACCTTAATACGATCTTGATCTGACAAGGACCTTGTTAGATCCCGACGCAAGTAGTTGGCAACAAAATCAGAAACTAGAATCGGCTCATAAAATGCTCTGGCGGACATGTCTGCAAATGGCATTCAGAAGATTGAATCAAGTAATTATTCCCATGTACTAGAAACGGCCAGCTTTAGAACTATGGCCGGATAGATTAATGTTAGCTTCATAAATGAGAAAAACATGTTTAGGTAATAGTGGCATGTGCCACAAAGGTAACAAACCATAAATTTGGGCATAAAAAATCTAAAACTTAGCCTACCACTGTTTAGAGAGAGGCCTACCAATGTTTAGAGAGAGGCCCATCTGGGTTGGACGGAGACTTTGATAGAATCCTTTCCAATATACCAACCCGTCACCAAGATTCCCCATATCTCCCAACTGCGGAGAAAAGAAGGACCTTCCAACAACTTCATAACTGAAATTTAAGGACAGAAAGTTACTAATATTGAAACCAGAAAAGCAAATATGAGTTTCTGTATCAGGGTACGAAGAGTTAGGCACTTGATGGATGGCTTCTCTCTCAGAACAATATCAAGAGCTTGAATGGTTTCTTGGGGGGCATCAAGCAGTCTTCTCTGTATGAATTCCTTAAGATGAAAAAGATCAGCAGTAGAGGCAAATTTTATTGACACCTTGAAATCACGCTCCCTCCTGAAGTATGAAGCAAACAGTGTAAAGATCTAGATTAATCAATTAAATTAGATGATTACAAGCATGTATAGTTCCTTAGGAAAGGAATGTAACTTAATGCAGTACAATCAACAACATATTGCGCGCGCGCACGCACATATATACATATATATATATATATATATATATGCCACTATTTGGTATCCATTCTACCACATTTTTTCTACGGTACTCATTTTCAATCACATATTTTTTATTAAAATAATATTACACACAAACCAAAAGTTTTTCCTTTTTTTAACCACACAATTTTCATCAATCTACCATTCCATAATACATTATTCAAAATTAATGGGACTCAAACATGGCCTATATATATGTATATCTACATAAACATATACTTGTGTATGTACATGTACATATACATGTAGATGTGTGTGTACACATATACACATGTACCTGTATGTATACATAAACATACATGGATGTATATGAATATATGTGTGTGTGTATCACCATAAGACTACATGTCACTCTTTAAGGGCCCACGATACTGTTGAAAACATTGTTTTCCATCCAAAATAATGGGCATCAAACAGAAGCTTATCTACTTACAAGTAAGTTCACTTATAAATAGACTTTTATAGCTAAAAATGATCAGCTTGAATAAACAAAAGGGGTGAAGTTTCGGAAAAGTTATCAACAGTTTCAACAATGAAACATACACTTTCCTGCACGTATGTTTATCAGATACATTGAACGTAATTCCACATTTAACACTCAAACATTAATATATTGTAGAAAAAAGAAATCAAATGAAAGATCTTAATAGTTTTAAATATTACCCGCAGCAACACATATAAGTATAAAACATTACATCAAATCAGATAAATGCTAGCCGCTGTTAATACATAAGAATTCACCTGGCTCCATCTTTGTCAACAAGCTTGACAACAAAATCCTTGGATGTGAAGGGCAGTGGAACTGCGGAGTAAGCACTCTTTCTTCCATCATAGGCCAACATTCGTTGACTCAGATGAGAAGCACCGTAAGTTTTGATAAGTTGGCTCATAATTTCCCTGCACACTTTCTTTGAGGTCACCTCAGGAGAAATAGAAACCTGACAACATAGTTATAGTTACAGCAAGCACAAACCTTTGATAAATTGAAAAAAAAAAAAAAAAAAAAAAAGGGGGAAGAGGCATCCTACATTATTGTTATTGTTTGAAATGATTATAAGATATACCAACAGGTAACATGTAAAAATACATTTTTATCACCGAGCTGAGTGATAGCTGTTTCAGTAGTTCATTCAAGGAAACATAAAGACAAAAGAAATATTTAAGCATTCTGATATCTTGTCCCACGCTGATTTCCATGGTAAGTTGTCAAATATTTATTAGGTTTCAAGTCTCTTATCAAACTGTTCATTTCCTGATTATCTTTCGATTTTACAACCATTTATGGGACAAATCATATGCACAAATGCTGGTTCAATTGGAAGAATAAAAAATTTCCAAAACTAAAAATAAGTGAAATAGCATTTATAGAATTTATCTACGACGTTCCACATGGCATATCCTATTTTTTGAATAAATTTTTATACTACGGGAACATTTTCAGGAGACACTTCGAAAATGATGTCCAACACACAATGTGGCATGTATTCATATAATTTTTCTAAACATAGTTCAGCAATATTACGTGAACATGACATCACGTGTAGGTGTGTCAGTATCAGTGCTTCTTAAATCAACTATATAAAAACTTTACATACAGGTGAGTCGATCTAAAAGCGCATGCCTGCCTTAAAATTTTTACCAATAAATTCCCAGTTGAATTGTATCCATATATGAATCCACATTGCAATTTATAGTTCTGTACGGCGTGATTTAATCTAAACAAATAAAATTTGTAACTAAGGTGTTGACACAAAAAATATTTAAAATATTATATGTATATTAAAAAAAAAATCCTCAAATTTATTGTATTGATATGGGGACATGGTATCAATAGTTTAACACTTAAAATCAAATCAAAAGGCAAGCTCATGCAAGTATGAATAGATCACTACACGAGTACATGTTGAAATACACTGATAAATGCTTTACATACATATACATACACATACATACATACATACATACATACATACATATATATATATACATATACATATGTATATGTATATGTATATGTATACATGTATACATAGT